AGGCTAAGGCTGAGGAGATGGTTAAGAAATTTGATAAGTACTGGTGTGGTATGAGGAACATCAACAAGATGCTGATTGTAGCTACTGTCTTTGATCCTTCGAAGAAGATGCAGTTTGCTAAGATGTGCTTTGAAAAACTTTATGGTAAAGATACCACTGATGCTAATGAAATGTTTAAGTCTGTGATGGTAGTTCTTGAAGATTTGTTCAAAGAGTACAGTGCTCGGTTTGCTTCTGGTTCAGGAGATCAACCATCTCAGTCGACACAAGCGGCATCATTTGGTAGCCAAGAGCAATCAGCACTTGAGAAGATCGATTTGCTTGATGATTTGGGGTATGAGAGAATGGATTGCATGTATGCAGAGTTGGTTGATTTGATAGAAGATCGAGAAGCAAAAAATGAGTTGGAAACTTATTTGAAAGAGAGTGTTGTCAATCCAAGGACTATTGTTGGAGTGGAGTTTGATGTTCTGTCTTGGTGGAAGGTAAATAGCTCCAAGTTTCCTGTTCTTGCAGAGATTGCTCGTGATGTTCTTGCCATGCAAGTGTCATCTGTTGCTTCTGAAAGTGCATTTAGCACTAGTGGCCGAATCATTGACCCATATAGGAGTTGTCTAACTCATTACATGATTGAAGTTTTGATGTGTTCTGAGCAATGGATGAAAGCAGACATTCGTGGCAATGAAGGTAGAGTGGTGACAATGGAACACATTCTCAGTGAATTTGAGTATGAAGACAAGATGAAGAGAGGTATATCATTTACAACTTTTCAATTATAACGTTTATAACTTTATATTACATTACTAACACTGTCTTCTTTAACACTTGTTTTAGAGTATGATTCTCAAGAAACACAAGAGTAGTGAGTCAAAGAGGAGCTTTGGAAGTTGGAACCAAGTGAAGGATGTTCTTGGTCGATTGTAATTTGTTTCTTGTTCTTTTTATTTCTGTTTTGCTCAAGACTTGAGCTCAAGTGTGTTTGCTTCTTGTTGTTTCTTTGGTTTGAATTTTATTTGCGGCGGTTTAAGTTTTTCTATGTATGATTTGTCCCTTTTGCAACAATGTAATGGAATTTTTAGTTTAAGTATTCACTTAAGTACTTTTTTTATGGTTACATTGGTTACCTTTTTAGAACCGAATAAGTACGTTGGATACTTATAACCAAAGTAAAAGATTAATACATTGAGTATTATGGTTACATTGGTTACTTTTTTAGAACCGAATAAGTACTTTGGATACTTCTAACCAAAGTAAAAGATGAGTACATTGAGTATTTGGTTACATTTCGGTTTTTCAAACTAAGTACCAAACCCACCCGAACCCACTTGGACCCGACTCGAACCCGACCCGGAATTTACATATACCCGATTGAGTCTTCACATTGCAAAACCGAAAAACCCGATACCCGAAAGAACCGACCCGGACCCGAACGGGTACCCGAATGCCCAGGCCTATTCCTATCTCTAACTACCTTCTTTCTACAAAACCAAATTCCCTTTTTTTGACTATTTCACAAATAAACCCTTTAAATTACACCTTTCTAATTGTTTTCTCGTGTATCTAGATCTTAATTGTTTGGCTGAGACTAAATTTAGATATGGGTCTGTCCCATTTAAAGCTTCATGCCATCCAAACATTAGTTAACTTCTTGCACACAAACTATAAGAATATAAAAGACAAATCATGTGGACAACTATTTTATTTTTATGTGATGTTGGGAATTTTCTTTACGTGGTTTCTACTAAGGAAAAAAGACTAATTGATATTTGACACATAAAATTTGTATAAGATAAGTGATAAAATTCTAACTATCAATGTTCATATTTTTTTCTCTAACAGGGACATAATCACTAAAAAAATAAGCTATGCCTTCTGGCATAGAACTATAAATATGATTCAGTAATTCAGATTTTTACATTTTATAATAATCCACGATCTTTACAACAAACATTTCAGATAGATAATAAATATAATGTTCGTCATTTCTAAGTAACTATAAATAAACATAATTCAATTGATACATCAACAAGAAAAACCTTACTTATAAATAACTGAATTCTAATTTATATTCTAAACTTTGGGAAACAACATCATCAGAGAAGCAAGAAACAATGAAAAAGATCTTCTATGATTAGGTTAACAAAAAAAAAGAAGATCATTAGGAGAGAAAAAAAAATAAAGCAAATCTGAAACCATTTGTTGGTATAGACAGATTTGGTAATTACCTTTGTCAAAGAACAAGAACAATGAGTCCATAAAATATGATTCGTCTGGACTCTGGATAATGCAAGGAGGTCCACAAAAGACACAACACCCTCGTTTTGGCATATGGAACAACTCAAATTCAGCACAAGTTTCTTGAGAATTAATGAGTTCTACATAATGTGCTTCACATGACATGACGACACTCGACATCGTTTAACCACAGAGTCTATCTACCAGGTGATACAAGACTGATCATCCTCTTTCCTCTTAATTCTTAACTTGAGCTTGTGCACGCATGAATCCCTAGAGAAAATTAGAAACCTTTCCACAAAACTCACAAAGGCAATGTAATATGGGAAGTCAATGGTCTAGTAAGGAGTAAAAAACCATAGATTTTTCCACCTTGTGGACAAAAGACTAGTTCTAAGGATTTTCACTTATTCATTAAAGGGAAACAATATGTTCTTACGGATTTCAATTCATTCGTTGGATTTATGACTTTCTTAGTCCTTGCTTTTATGAGTGTTTCAAAAAAAAAAGTCCTTGCTTTTATGATTTAATTCATGTGTTATATGTATATATAATATAATGTAATGTATGTATGTGTATGCATGTTAACGTGGTTTTCTACTGGCAATGGATTTGCAGGGTGGCGGCTATAGGGATGTTTCAGGAAATTCATACATAGATATGTTATTAAACACACAAAGTATTTTAACTCTGAGATTATGTTTTAAATCATATGATTTGAATAATAAAATCTCGTAATCATTTTCAGAATTATGTTGTTCTTAAAACATTTATTTTGTTCATTTTAATTTATCTCTCGTATCATAAATCTTAGTGGTTTAGACCGAGTCCATATTTAGATATGGGTTTGTCCTATTTAAAATTTAATGTCATCCAAACATTAGTTAACTTCTTGCACCCAATCTAAAAATATAAAAGATTGAAATGTTGATTTATTTATTTTTATATGATGTTGGAAATTTTTTTATGAACGTTCAATTTTGTACAATTTGGGTAAAGAAGTGTTTCTATAAGAAAATCTGATATTGGACACATAAATATTGAATATGATAAATGATAAACTTCTAATTATAAGTATTCTTTTTCAGTAACAAAGACATAATCACTAAAACTTCTGAAATGAGCCTTTTGGCATAAAACTATAAACATGATTCGGTAATTCACATCTTTACATCTTTTATAAGTATAAAATTCTTTACAACTAGCCATTTTAGATAGAAACTTTTAATATTACAAATACACTACAAACAATTAACCTTCCTAAAAGTATCTTCAATTCAATCTTATTGTTTTCTCTTAATAACTCTATTAAATAGGTGAATTTGCTCCAATGATATACTTTTATAATAGAATTTGATTATTTCCAACCCAATATAAAAAGGTTACATTTAAAAGAAAAAATGGGATCGGATTAGAAATGCTCTTAAGATAGCAAACAAAAACTCATGGTTATGGTTTGTTTACAACTTTGTCAAATAGCTTTTTATTACAATGGTGTAAATTTATGTAGTTTTATTTTCTTTCAAAATGTATATATGTACATCCAAAGCTACAAAAATCTGGCTAAAGAGCCTGATATTAAACAATATACTACAAACGATTAACTCTTTTAAAGTATCTTCAATTCAATCTTATTGTTTTCTCTTAAGTAGAATAACTCTATTAAATAAGTGAATTTGCTCCAATGATATACTCGTACAATAGAGTTTGAATATTTCCAACCCAATATAAAGAATGTTACATTTTCACTCTAATATAACGAAATAATAGGATTGGATTAAAGATGCTCTTAAACAGTAAACAAAAAATCATGGTTGTGGTTTGATTACAACTTTGCCATTCAGCTTTTTATTACAATGGTGTAAATTTATATAGTTTCATCTTCTTTCAAAATGTATATATGTACATCCAAAGCTACACAAATTTGGCTAAAGAGCCTGGTCAATAAGGAGATGTTAATTACTGATATGAAATACACGAGTTCCTTACAATGCTCTAAAATGTATATACCTAAAATTAAATATATGTTGTTTAACTAATTTAGTTATTATCAATGTTTATACGTAAATTTTAAACATAATATAATATTGTAATTAAAATCTCTCGTTATTATCGTTTTTAGGATTAGAGAACCAAAAAAAAAAATTGTAAGAATATTATTATTTGAAGATGTGACTTGTGGAATATTGAATAGTCCACCGTGTAACTGACACGTTGTGGGAGTTATTAATATATAACGCGATAAAAAAGGGGTGATTAGGAGAAAAATGAAAAAGCCAAGAGCGCGACATCACAAGAGAGAGAGAGAGAGAGAAAAACGTGGGGACCACCAGACTGGACGTGTGCACAGCATATTCACACTATTTGAATTTTATTTTCGAATCCGCCACTTAATCTCCACTCCCGCTTATCACACCATTAGGTTATAAGCAGAATAGATTATCTTATAAGCGGAATAGGTTATCACCGAAGTCAGCTCCGCTTATATCTGATAAGTCGGTAAGTCCTGCTCTCTCGAAGAAGAACGCGTCCAAGAAAGCGAGGTCAAGTTTTCTCTCTCTCTATCTTATCTCCTTTATTTATTCTCTCCATTGTTCTCTCTTCACGCAGCTCTTCTCAAAACCCTAGAAATTCTCGCGTCGTGATTCCCTTTAGCTTGTGTTAGATCTTTCAGAGCTCTGTGCCAAGCTCCGATTCGTGTATTTTTCATCGTTTATTTTGTTATTTTTTGTGACGTTTAGATTTGAGATTCGGAGCTTCGTGGAATGTCGTCGTTGAGCCGAGAGCTTGTGTTTCTGATACTTCAATTTCTCGAGGAAGAGAAATTCAAGGAGTCTGTTCACAGGTTAGTAGAGGTCTCTTTGAGAAGAAGAAGTTTAATTGGAGATTCCGAAAATGTTTATCTCTGTGACTCTGGTTGGAAGGTTGTTGCTGAGTATTGATTTGTAATTAGAAGTGAAAGATTCGTAAAATATTATTATAAGAAAATATTTGTTTGTTATATACATGGATGGTTATGTAGTTTGAATCAATGTTCAAGAAATCGTTAGGCCGGTAATTAGGCGTTTTCTATGAGATTATTGACTAGTCGGTTGTCTAGACCTATTTTTTTGAATGACTGGAATATAAAATTGTTTTGTGTAAGTCCGATTTGCCGATTAGGTGCCGCCTAAACCGATTTTATAACGGTTGTTTGAATTATTTGTTTGTATCAAGAAATGGCTAGGCGGTAGTTAGGCGTTTTATATGAAATTATTGATTAGTCGGGTGTCTAGACCGATTTTTCGGAAAGAATAGATCATAAAGTGTTTTGTTTAGGTACGATTTGCCGAATAGGTGCCGCCTAGACCGATTTTTATAACACTTGTTTGAATTATTTGTGTTTGAATTAGAGTAGAGTGGAATTGAATTTAATTTTTTCTTATTCTTTTGATGTTTGATTAGCCTTTTTTGAGTGAATTGATTGTTGGATTGGTTCTCTACAGGCTGGAGAAAGAGTCAGGATTCTTCTTCAACACAAAGTATTTCGACGAGAAATTTCTTGCTGGAGAGTGGGATGAAGTTGAGAAGTATTTGTCTGGGTTTACTAAAGTTGATGATAACAGATACTCCATGAAGATTTTCTTTGAGATTAGGAAGCAGAAGTATCTCGAGGCTCTTGATAGGTAATGTTTTGTAGATGATTTATTTGTTTTGTGTGTTTTCAGAGTGTGTGTGTGTGTGTGATATCATCTTCTCCATGTTTTTTTTCATCAGGAAAGATAAGGCCAAAGCAGTTGAGATATTGGTGCAGGACTTGAGAGTCTTCTCCACTTTCAACGAGGATCTATACAAAGAGATTACTCAGCTTTTAACTTTACAGAACTTCAGGTACGAGTTATGGATTCTACTTAATCTACACATTTCTCTTGTGATGGAAGATGAATTTTGGAAACTATAAAAATATGATCAATTAGAGTTCAAGATCTTCTTTTCATAGGAATGTGATATTTGAGTTAGATTATTTGCATTTGTGGATTGAATTTGACATCAATGACATTCAAGAAAGTGATTATCTATCAAATGCAGGGAAAATGATCAGCTTTCCAAATACGGAGACACAAAAACAGCTCGAACCGTAATGCTAGCAGAAGTAAAGAAACTAATCGAAGCAAATCCTCTTTTTCGTGACAAATTGACGTTCCCTACATTAAGATCTTCGAGACTGCGGACTCTCATTAATCAAAGGTGTGTTTCTTTTTCTATTTTTCTCCTCACGATCAATAGAATATGTTGCTGGATCATAGTGCACGTTTTCTCTTGCAGTCTTAATTGGCAGCACCAACTGTGCAAAAATCCTAGGCCAAACCCCGATATTAAAACTCTATTCATAGACCACACATGCGCAGTTCCGAATGGTCCTCTGGCACCTTCATCAGTCAACCAGCCTGTTACAACTTTGACAAAGCCAACAGCTTTTCCATCGCTTGGAGCTCATGGTGTAAGAAACCTCAGCTTTTGACTGCTTTATTCATGTGTCTGAATCGTACAAATATTTCAATATTTGAGTAAATATGTAATTCTGTATTAAATGTAGCCCTTTCCTCCTGGTGCGGCTGTTGCTGCTGCTAATGCTGGCGCTTTAGCTAGTTGGATGGCTGCTGCCTCTGGTGCTTCTGCTGTCCAAGCTGTCGTTGTCACACCTGCGCCTATGCCTCTACCTCAAAATCAAGGTTAGTTTGTGACAGTATTCTACATTTTTTTGTTCTGTACTTATCAGTAAGTACATGTTTTATATCCTTCCAAGACTAATTACTTTTCTTACAAAAAGTGGCAATCTTGAAGCGACCAAGAACACCACCAGCAACTCCAGCTATAGTAGATTATCAGAATCCAGATCATGAACTAATGAAGCGTCTCCGCCCTGCCCCATCTGTAGAGGAGGTAATATAATTTTTTTTTGCTTTCTGGAAAGCTATTTGTATGATTCTTGCATTTTTCTCAAAATTCTAAGCACTATTCGTTTTCCAGGTGACATATCCTGCTCCTAGGCAACAAGCTCCATGGTCGCCGGAAGACTTGCCATTAAAGGTGGCTCTAGCGTTGCATCAAGGGTCCACTGTGACAAGCATGGAGTTTCACCCTACGCAAAATACGTTACTTCTTGGTATATTGGTTTGAAACTTAGAATACAAACTCAATTTGAAGTTATATTTTAGATATTTTTTCGTTGGCTTTCTGAATGACAATTTGAGTTCCATCAGTTGGATCTGCAACGGGAGAAATCACATTGTGGGAACTCGCTGTTCGGGAGAAGCTAGTTTCAAAGCCATTCAAAGTATGGGATATGACTAACTCCACAGTTCAGGTTTTTCCGTTACAGCTAATAGTTTCGTAGTTTATGTGTTTTATTAAAAGTCTTTATTTAAAACATATGGCTGTGAGAACGATAAGTGTTGAAGATAATATGTATCAGCAAACTATCTGCTGTCCCATAATCTTATGCTTACCATTTTTGGGGACTGACTCAGGGTTTGATAGCTAAGGAACCACCAATTTCTGTCACCCGTGTTGCATGGAGCCCAGATGGAAATTTCATAGGTAAGCTTCCCTTCATGCATTCTTTGATTTTAATTAGTCTCTGGTCTCAGTCTCTTCTTCTGCAGGGGTTGCCTATTCCAAACATCTTATTCATTTGTATGCTTTCTCTGGACCTAACGATCTTCGCGAGCATGCTGAGGTGAGCAAACGTTAGATCATATTCTATACGATAAGGACTGCGCTGTAATAATATCTCATAAATTTTTTTATTTTATTTTTTTCTCACAGATCGATGCCCATGTGGGTGCTGTGAACGACTTGGCTTTCGCTATTCCGAACAGACAGCTATGTGTAGTTACTTGCGGAGATGATAAACTAATCAAGGTGAGTAGATGAATCACAGGTGTTTCACTGTTAGACATATCTACTGCAGCTGTCTAACTTGATCTATGTGGAACAGGTATGGGATATTCAAGGTCGAAAGCATTTTACCTTTGAAGGTCATGATGCTCCTGTTTATTCCATTTGCCCTCATCACAAAGAGAACATTCAGGTGTGGCATTCTATCATATATTATATTGTTTCTCCATCTGTTTGAAAAACACTAAAACTAGATGACATATTTCCTGTAGTAGATCCTGCCAATTGACTTGTGCTCTTATTTGAATTTCAGTTTATATTTTCAACGGCCATAGATGGGAAGATAAAGGCCTGGCTTTATGACAATATGGGTTCCAGAGTTGACTATGATGCTCCCGGTAAATGGTGTACTACGATGCTTTACAGCGCTGATGGGTTTAGGTACGATCTGAATTTCATAAAAAGTCCATCTTCTAATCCTTTAAACTCACTTATCAAATTGTTCTTTATTAAAATGTTAAAGTTCGTCACTCAGATTTATTTATTCCTGAAGGTATTGAGTTGTCTCTTAAATTTTCTAGTCTGTTTTCCCCCTAAATACTCATTTTCTCTCCCCAGTGTCATGCATCTTTTGCTGATTTAGATACAACCCAAATCTATCTGTTTTCTGATATTGTGGTGTATTTTCTTCTTCAGATTGTTTTCTTGTGGAACGAGTAAAGATGGTGATTTTTTCCTAGTTGAGTGGAATGAAAGTGAAGGATCAATTAAAAGGACCTATCTTGGGTTTCATAAAAAGTTGGCGGGTATGGTTCAGTTTGATACCTCAAAGAACCACTTTCTGGCTGTTGGTGAAGATGGACAAATCAAGTTCTGAGATATGGACAACATCAGTGTTCTGACAAGCACTGATGCTGAGGGCGGACTTCCGGTTAGTCCCACAGATTCTTTTATTCTGCCATGGCTTGTTGCTTAGGTGTTCTGGATACTAACTTGTCTCATCTTCAGGCTCTTCCTCGTTTGAGATTTAATAGGGAAGGTAATCTTCTAGCCATTTCTACGGCAGATAACGGATTTAAGATCCTAGCAAACACAGCTGGTTTCCGATCTTTAAGAGCCATGGAAGCTTCTGCTTTTGAAACGATGAGGAATCCAGTCGATTCTTCCGTAATCAAAGCTGTAATGTTTCTCAACTTTGTAGTATATTTTCCTTTATTAGCATCCACTGTTGTAGCAAGCTCTCTTGGTTTACACATTTTGGTATTCTGTTAGGTTCCTGGTGCTCCTGTTGCGTCTGTCAGCTGTAAAATTGAACGAGGCTCTCCGGTTAGACCCTCACCTATCCTGGTAAATTACCCATTAAATGTTATGTTTTTCTAGTCATTTTAAAATCTTTATTCTCTATTCCGGATTGTCGCTAGAAAATGAAAAATATCATACGTTAAAAATCCTGGCTATAGCATTTGTTGTCAGATTTTTTTATTATGTTTAAGAAAAATTAATAATCTTATTTTTGTTGTGCCAATCTTCAAGAATGGAGTTGATCCCTCGAAGCCAAGAATAGACGACTCAACAGACAAACCAAGACCTTGGCAATTAGCTGAAATATTGGACCCAACCCAGTGTCGCCAGGCTACTTTACCCGAGACCGCTGGTTCTTCCATAAAGGTTTGCGCAATTAAATTTTCTGACAATTTGGTTTACAAAGAAAGAGAAAACTAAGGGCTTATGTTTCTCATGTTGCGTGGCAAAGCAGGTCGTCCGGCTTCTGTATACTAATTCCGGCGCTGGAATCTTGGCATTAGGTTTGAACGGTATTCAGAGGCTCTGGAAGTGGGTTCGCACTGAGCAGAACCCAAGTGGAAAGGTAAATCATGAAAGAGAGTTAGAGAAAGCTCAAATGCATGCTGTGTGCGGCTTTATCTAAGTGCTATTTATTGTGCAGGCAACTACTGCTGTTGTTCCTCAGCATTGGCAACCAAACAGTAGTCTTCTCATGACCAACGATGTCTCTGGTGTAAACCTTGAAGAGTCTAACCCGTGCATCGCTCTCTCTAAGAACGATTCATATGTCATGTCGGCTGCTGGAGGAAAAGTCTTCTTGTTCAACATGATGACTTTTAAGGTATATATGAACTTAAAAATAGATCACTAAAACCACATGCTCTAGCTGAAAATCTTCTCACGTTCATACTATAAAAGTCCTTTGTTGGTTCTAATATTTCAAAAAAAATCAGTTGGCCTTACAGGTGATGACAACATTCATGCAACCTCCACCGGCATCAACATTTCTGGCGTTCCATCCTCAGGACAATAACATCATTGCAATTGGAATGGAGGACTCCACGATTCACATCTACAATGTCCGAGTGGATGAGGTAATAGTCGATAGTACCAACCACTGCCACTTAAGTTGTGTTTTATGATCTATGACGAGGAAAATTTAACCACTTATTTAGGAATTGGTTGTTTTAGCCTAAAACTATATGAACGAGCTCACTTGGCTTGCATCTGTGTTTCATCAGGTCAAATCAAAGCTAAAGGGTCACCAGAAATGCATCACTGGCTTAGCATTTTCTACAACCCTCAATATCTTGGTTTCATCTGGTGCTGATGCTCAGGTGCGTTATGCTGCGTCTTGTTGTTGCGGAAAAAAAAATATGCTGGATTATCGAACTTTCGGAGGATGCTAACTCATGTTGTTCCCTTCTCTTAGATATGCTTTTGGAGCATTGACACATGGGAGAAGAGAAAATCCGTAGCAATACAATTGCCAGCAGGAAAAGCCGCCAATGGAGACACGCGTGTGCAGTTTCATGTGGATCAGATCCGTATCCTGGCAGTCCACGAGACACAACTAGCTATATTTGATGCTTCCAAGATGGAATGTATCCGACAGGTACGTATGAGATCATCTCTCTAACTAAGTCCATAGATATATATAAACGCATGAGTTCTTAATTATTGTTCTGAATTTTTTTAGTGACATGTTTTCTTGTTTCCATGTCTCAGTGGATTCCTCAAGACTCGTTGTCTGCTCCCATATCCTCAGCAGTGTATGCCTGCAACAGCCAGTTAATCTACACCACTTTCCGCGATGGTAACATTGGAGTGTTCGACGCAGACACTCTTAGATTAAGATGTCGTATCTCTCCATCCGCCTACTTGCTTCAAGGGTAAAGTGTTTATCCAACATTTCATTAGATTCTTAATTCCAAGTCAATCTAAGAAGATTCCGTTATAAGCTTTTCTCTATATTCACTTCTCTTTGCTTTTACAGGAACCAAGGTTTGTCCCCTCTAGTTGTGGCAGCTCACCCACAAGAGCCAAACCAGTTTGCGGTCGGTTTGAATGATGGGTCAGTTACGGTGATAGAACCGACGGAGGCTGAAGGCAAGTGGGGGATGGTTCCACCCTCTGAAGCGATCAACACTTCACCATCCACCACAAACAACCAGAGTCAAGAACAGTTACAAAGATGAACAAACACTACAATGGCTTGTAATTAATCTCAAATTTCTCCATATTATTCCTTCAGTTTGGTTTGGTTGGTTGGTTAGTTAGTGTTGTTGCTGATTATTATTTAGGTTTTAAGCAGTGGTGTTAGATCTTCGAATGTAGCCTTAGTTTGAAGATTGTTAAGATAATGACACTGGTAAGAAATAAAAGTTTGTATAACTATTCTGCAAATCTCAAGTGTGAATAAGCAACAAGAACGTGGCTACCTTATAAAAGTATATCGGTGAGAGATTAAAACCACACTGCCATCAATAATGACATGAACTCTTGCCCACTCCATCGATTTGCATCTATCCTCTTCTTTTGTTCAGCTCATGTTGGAAAAGCCATACGTTATTGTTTTATATTAGGTGCGGTCAAAATACATTTAAGAGAATGAGAAATGAAAGAAGTTTTTATTTATGATTTAGGTATTAGTTTCTAAGTTTTTTTTTAGTTTTTAAGTTTTACTATGAAAACGAGATGTTGAAGCATTAGACTAATACACAAGACGAAGTTTAACATACTACAACTTTTCTTGTAGTTTTGACTCTATTCAAAAACAACTTTTGATTAAAAATTTGAGCCATTAGGCCAATATACTAGACTCTTTTCCATACATTTGACCTCCAACCCCCAAATCTGTACATTTGTTTGGATCTTTCTAGTGAACTACTTCTTCCCATAGTGTTTCCAGTCTATCTTCTCTTGGGAGTTTTATCTTCTTTTTCCTAACTAACATGCAAGTACGCTTTCATAAACGATCAACTACCAAACATTTAACTGGGCCTGCAGTGTTTCGGCCCATGTGTGTGTAAAACCCAGCAACTTTGCCGTTAGTGAGTGAGAGATGTATATAACTTATCCCACATCGCTTAGATTTCAAGGGAAGGACTCGCTGAGCGGTGTATAAAAAGAGAAGGGGATGGAGCAAGCAAATCACTTACCTGGACGGGGTCAACTCGTGATCAAGAAGACGAGTGGCCTAGGCTAGTGACCTCCATTGCACATACCGGAGGGGCGCTTAGCCTAAGGTCTCCCCAAGTGGGAGAGCCTGCGTCATTATTTGTGGCAGAGGGAGCCTGCGTTCGCGCGGCTCCTACCATTCTTAGTCTTGAAGTTTATTTGTTAGTTACTTGCATTGCAAGTCTCTTGTTAAGATAATGATCTCTTCTCTGAATAAATCTTGCGAGGGGTGTTCATGACATAGTTTTCTGTGGAGTGAAATTGCAGTTTACTGTGTTAATTACCATGGCTTTGGGTTAGGTCAAGCTATAACTAATATCCCACATCGGAGAGATGTTCCAAGTAGGTCGGTTTTGTTTTGACTATAAAGCAAAGAGGCTTTCGTTTAGTTCAAATCATCTTTGCGCTTGGGGCAATGACGCAGCTTATGAGGTACAAACCGAGGCGCGTCTATTGCTGGTTGAAAACTATTTCCAAACCCCCTCACTGATCTTAGGCTTGACCTAAGACTCTGAGAATTTCTGGAAGGGCTCCCTTCGGGGTAAAGCCCTACAATTCTTTAGTTCAATCTTCTACCCTTAGCTCTGTAACACTGTTATGTTTATTTTCATGACAGCTTGCTCCATTACATGATAGTAATCAAGAATTGTGGAACTGGAAATCCTTTGAATGAACTCGAGTTGTTTTAATTGTTCTCTGTATTTGTCCTCTGGTTTTCAACATTCATGTAAGATTCTGTTAAAACAAGCATCATCAGAGAAAATCCGCAATTTGTATTCTCACAAATAAAGTTCGGACCACCTCAAGAGCTTTAGGTCGTTGGTAACAATGAGATCAGCTAAAATTTCATTAACGATTATTAAACCAAAAAATATGTACGGTAATGTTTATCAAAGAGAACATTGATAACCAAAAAATATGTACGGTAATGTTTATCAAAGAGAACATTGATCCACAATACAAAATAAACAAATGAGCAAAAATAGTGGATGCGTTCAAGTAGTGAGTAACCAAAAATGTAACAAGAACAGAGTTATGCTCAAACACTTAACTATGCGTATAGTAAGTGGAAAGAATCTTTACCATTTGAAGCTGTGCTAGTAAGTATTCCCACATCGCTTAGATATCAAGGGAAGGACTCTCTGAACATAGTATAAAAATAGAAGGGCAAGGAAGAAGCAAATCACTTACCTGGACGGGGTCAACTCATGATCAAGAAGATGAGTGGCCTAGGCTAGTGACCTCCACTGCACATACCGGAGGGGTGCTTAGCCTAAGGTCTCCCCAAGTGGGAGAGCCTGCGTCATTATTTGTGACAGAGGGAGCCTGCGTCCGCGCGGCTCCTACCATTCATTTGAGTCTTTAAATCTTACTAAAATCTAACCATAGGCGAAATTAAAAGGCCTTGCAGTGCAGTCTTTGAAGTCATAACGTGATTCATGAATAAAAATTCAAACACCATTGCCAAAAATGTAGTAAACCGAAAGTATACTTAGGATCTCAAGAACAGGACTCAATGCAGAGTTATGATCAAATAAATACATTTCTGGATGTTTTCTTACAGTCTACAGATAAATAGAGTGTTCATTAAAGAAAAGATGTGTTCAATAAGATAAAATAATACTTCATTATTCATGTCTCTCTTGACTCTTCAATACAAAGCTCTCTAACATTATTCTGGTTATCTCACCAAATCATTTGTTGAAAAAATAAACAACTCTGTTACATTTTTTTTCCAATCCTGAAATGATCTAGCAATCTTAGAGAAAGTTATATATTTCTCTCCTTTTATAAATCATCATCAAGAATCATGGAGCTGAAAATCCCTTGAACAAACTCGCTCTGTTTCAACTTCTCTCTATGATCCTCTGCTGAAAGCGACTTCTTCTCAACACTCCTGTAATATCCAGATCAAGACAAGTATCATCAGAGAGTGATTGTAAGAAAAAACCAATCTGAGGATGATGAAGCAAATACCGTTCAGGCAAACTCTGATTCAATGTCTTCTTGGCAGAACTTGTTTCTGAAATGAAAAGTCCATCTGCCATTGGAGAAATGAAGGAAGACAGCAAAGGATCAGCAGCTATACTGGAGGACGAGGAGGAAGAAGGTACAACAAGACGTGAAGATCCTTCAAACAAGCTTTGAAAGTTTCCATCAGGAAACTCTCTCTTCAAGATTGATAGCATGGACTGAGCCCCGCCTCTTCTTGGTTTCCTTTTTCTTGTCGTCACGTGATATTGTAGTTAAGGAATGAATGAATATAATGTATTGAAGGAAATCAAATAAGTAAAAATGATGGATAGAAAGAAAATAAAAAAGGATATCTTGAACATATTTGCATGTTGAAGTGTTATATGAGCAACCATATCAGAGCTCACTTTCACCGCACAAACGGGACATACCTACAAGGAAAAACAAATGTGTCAAAAACAAATCTTTATATAGTAGCAACTCTCCTGAAAATCCCAATGTTCAAGAAATCGTTAGGCGGTAATTAGGCGCTTTATAAGAGCTTATTGATTAGACCGATTTTTTGAACGTCTAGACTGATTTTAAAAAATGGTTTCATTAAAACGGCAAGTCTAGACCGATTTTTAGAACACTGAAAAATTCTATTCCTAACACATCTTCATTATGCTACTTTCACTTCCCTTATTGTATGTGCAAGAAGAGAAACTACTAAACAAAGAGCAATGGTTTGCTTAATTTACTAAGAACCATGTGATGAAACATTAATTAGATTTTTGATATTACAGAACAATATCAAAGAGATACTTTACCCCGTTGATAGTGTCATTAGGATGATCTTCGTCTATGTGGCAGAGAGAGAGACGATATCAAAATAGTCAGAGCAGAAGGGACAAGCATACTCTTCCCTGAACTCATCTTCTCCTTCTACCTCCTCAAACCCCAAGAAGTTATCTACATTTTCATTAAAAAAAAACAAAAACAAACAATCAGAGATGGCACAACTACACAAAAAAAAAACAGAGCCTAGAAAAAAAATTAAGACTACTAAAAANTTTTATTTTCTCTCGATCGAATCTCAAATAAAATCAGAAGAATCAAGAAAGATACCAAACAAATCAAGATTCTTGGTTCGGACAAAGACAAAACGAATATTCCGATTGATTAACGAATCAAGAAGATTCCGGCGATATGCAAAGACGTATCAAGAAGACGACGATGCTGCGTTGTTTTCCGGAAGTTGTCTTTTTTTTTAATTTATGGACTTTTTTTTATTGTTTGGATAGAGAGTGAAAGACATAGGAGAGGAGACGAGTTCCATGTAATAATTTAATTAGTTTTATTACATGTTTGTCCAAACAAAAAAGTTTTATTACATGTATTTTAGTTAGTTTTGTTTTTTAATTTAATTTCTCGTTTTCAATTATGAGTGCATGCCGTTTAACCCTTTTACCCGCCGTGTTTTTTCCTTTGGTATTATAAAACTGGCACGTTTTTCGCCTTACTGAAAAAACGTTATTGTGTTAGTTAGAAGCATACGTGTCTAAATATTATTGGTTAAGTTATGCTATGTTGGTGAAGCAGGTGAACTTAACCCGCGAAAACAGAGTTTTCACTGTTTCGAAGATTTTTTTTTTTGTATTTTTATATTCACTTTTCAATAATCTCAACTTTTTTAGAAATCAATAATGTAAAGTCTTATTGTACCGAACAGACTCAACCAATTCAATGCAAAGCCATAACCGGAATAATCCGGTCTAAAATTTGAGATTTGACCAATGATAGCTACGGGTCAGGCCTGTTTATACAAAAATAGGCCCAACTTTATTACGTTAAAATGATATACTCAAAAAAGTGGCCCAAGACAAAATAAAGGGCAAAAATGTCTTTTAATCAAGATGCTCTGTTTTTTTTCTTTTCTTTCAGGCAAGAACAGAGTTGCAAGACAATAGTAGTAGACAAAGAGCAGCTTGTTCTTCCTCTTTTAAAATCCGACGTTTCTTCAAACCCACGCAACCATGTGACGACAATATTGTTGTGTTTATCTTCTTGTAGGGTTTGTGGCTGTGAATACATAACAACTCGGATCGTTTCTGTCTCATGAATCTGATCCCACATGCATTGCAAAGTGACTGCAAATCCCACCACACAAAAAAAAACAAGTTAAGAATACTTCTTGAACTATCCAATTTCATCTTAATATCAAATAATGTTATGTATAGTAAATGAAGGGTAGAAAGAAGAGACCTTAGGACCAGAAGGTCCACCTCTCCACATTGGTGTCTTGGTGGTTTTGCAATCACTGCAACACCTAACTCTCTCCTTCTCTTCTTCCATCTCTCTAGTAAAAGTTTAAAACTGCAACAATGATGCATTAGAGGAATTACAAGAACATAGCTCTCTTGGTTCAATCAAATCAAAAGAACCAACCAACCTTTATTTTCAGAGCTTCTTTTTGTAACCACAGTAGCCAAATAATGGGCCTGATCACTATAAAGCAAGATTGCTAGTTCTATTTATTTTTTTTTGGTATGAGTCAATCATCAAGAACGGCTTAAAATCTCCTTAAAAACTCTTTGAAACAAGTGTGATTGTGGTAAGAAGACACAAACACCCTTGGCCACATTTTTAGTCAGTTAATGATTATGGCCTTTCTGCTAGACTGCTGATACAAAACAAAACATTTGCCAAATCATTGTCAGGTGGAAAGCCAAGTGGCAGTACACACGACCGAGATCTGTGGAATTGTTTTAAAAAAATTATGAGTGCGTGTGTGTTTTAGAGACAATAAAGTAGAAGAAACCACAGATTCAGCAAAGTTGTTCACGTGAAGACAGAGGAATAAGCAATGAAACAAAAGCCACCAATGTTTTCACTAACTCATAGACTTTTTTTGTTAGGATGTGGAGCCAATAGTCTTCTTCCTCAATCAATTCTAGGAAAAGCAAAAATGCATATTATATAAAGGGAAACACACAAGGCAATATAATAGTCTGTCTAACCCCAGCATATAATTTTCTAATAAGCTCTAGCCAACTAAGCCAAGTGAAATCAAACATTCGTACTACACAACTTAAAATATGTAAACTGACTTTGTCATGTAAACTGATTTTGTCAAAATAAATGTTGTTTTATCTTTCTCTAAAAACATGGTATAGATAGGGGAAGATGGGAAAAACATAAATATATCTTATGTTTATAGCTTTCGTTCACCTCGAGACATCTTTAAATCCAATATGAGGCTGCAACTGACAAGTCCTTAGCTATAAAACCAATGTTCTAAAAATTGCTAGGCAGTGGTTAGACGTTTTGTAGAAGATTATTGGTTAGACCGGTGCCTAGACCGATTTTTTTTTATAGTGTAAACCGATTTCTTTAAAAGTCGGTTTGAAAAAATCATTTCGTTCATATCCGATTTGTCGATTAGGCGGGAGTCTAGACCGATTTTTAGAACAAGAAAACCATTTCAATATAGGGGCTAAACAAATACTTGAAATATAAAACATGTAAACTGATTTTTGTTATATATACTCTATATTTTTCGTAGAGAATATCAAACAAGGTATACACAAAGACTAATCCCCAGTACTTATTAAACCATTGAAAACAGTCAATGGCCGGGATCCATTTAACTAACCCTATTCTATCAAAAAAAAAGAAAGAATAAATTTTCACACACATACACAATATACACATCTTTCATGCACCGTATAAGAATCCAAACCTATGTATTTAATACGGTAGACAAGGTTTCTTACAAGCTTTCCCTGATCTTTTTCTAGCAGTTGTGAGTTTCCAGACTTCTCGGATCTTAAAAGCTGCCTTAACCTTACACCACCTGGCTCTTGGAGATCCCACATTAATGTTTGCGATATGAACATCATACGTTCCAGCTTCTTCCGTGCCAGACACGCTAACACAAAAACTGTTGTTCATTTGTTGCTCCCAATCCGCTGCACCAGGTGACCAGTTCAAGGGAAAGTCATGACGGTTATGATAAGAAAAAGTGTTTTCATAGTGATCCTTGTCATTCTCCATATAACCTCTTGTTGCTACAGTTTGTGATTCGCTGTGCACCGGATCGTGTTCACTAGCCCTGAAGCTGTTTCTTTGCATGAATTTCCCATCAATGTGATACGACGTCGTGTCTCGTGATGAGTATTCAAAATTCATCAGCATCTCTGGTTGGACAGTGGAGTTTGAAGCTGAGAAGTAAATAGACCTCATAGAGTTTAATGAATCTAAAATTCCTAAGTATCCAAAAAGAAAAACAAAAAGAAAAACATTGAATAATTTATTATCTAGATATAATAGATAAATATATAGAAAAAGACTTTATAATGTTACAAAATTGAAATGAAAGAGAAAATGACTAAGATAGCATTAAAAAGTTTTTGTCACAAATATAGCACTTAAGAATAAAAATGACCAAAATAACACTTAATATTTTATTAAAAGAGATAAATATACATCTATATCCCAATGATAAATTAATTTAGACATTAGGATTTAAAGTTAAAAGGTGGGATTTAGGGTTTAGAGTTTAGGGTTTAGAATTTAGGTTTTAGGGTTTAGAGTTAGGGAGTGGAGTTTTGGGGATAAGATTTCAATTTTTGAAAAATAAATTTTTTAAAAAACTTTCAAAAGATAAAATTATATTTTAGTCATTCAGTTTTTGAGGGCTATTATTGTGACATAAACTTAGAAAGATGCTATTTTGGAGATTTGCCCAAATTGAAATGTATACCTTGAAAGTTGTTGTGTTGCAATCCAGGACATGCAATTTCAAATCCAGGATTTTGCGTGCATTGCAAGGAACGTTGTGGATGTTCCATAAATGTCCTAAACTGGTTAATGTTTTGATATGCTTCACGCTTTAACTCGTAAAGCTGATAGGTTGGTAGCTGATCTGGATTTTGAAACGTTCCATCACTGAAGTACACTCTGATCACTTCATAGACAGAGTTGAAAATAAGTGAAACGCCAAGACCGGTTGCGTTGTAAATGTAACACTCTGCCTCGTCCAAAACGCATTGCTTAGCATGGGATACAATTGCTTCAAATGTTTTCTTTGAGATCCCTCCAACAAGAATATGCTCTCCACCAAGTAGCTGTTAAAAATAACAGCTTAATTAGGTTAGGTTTATATACTTTAGACTCGTTTGAATATTATTTTAGGTTTATAACCAATCTTACGTTGTATAGCGCATCTGAATCT